CCCCAAAACCCCAAAACCCCAAAACCCCATGGAATGAATTTGAACAAAATTGCGAGTTTAATGATTTTAAAATAAGATCAATTTAAATATAAGTTAATTAATAAATTTTTTGGTAAGAAATGGAATAAGATAAATTTTCAGAAATGATATCAATCCTAGAAAACAAGATCAAAGCTAATGTTTTCTACTTTTCTAGCATAATGGATACAAATATGGAAAGATTTATTGAAACTGGAGCAAGTGAGGCTGCTTTTTAGATTTTAGAAATCCTGCAATATTATTTAGATATTTCTTTACTAGATAAAAGCCCTAGCCAAAGTGAAATTATGAAATATGGCAATCTTTAAAAAGAAACACCTTTGATTATATTTTTCTAGAAGCAGTAGAACTACTAAAACATTCTTATGGCAATATAAAATCTTCAAAGAGATTATGACATACTTGGATTGAAATTGACTGAGTCTTCCCTCTTGTAAAGATAAATTGACTAATTCAGTTTACTTTAAATAGAAGAAGAAAAATAATTGGTATCTATTCCTCGGGAAAATTAAATTTAGGAATTCAGCAAAGAGGATTAAGATTTGATTGACATTTATGGAGATAGAATTAAATTTGTTGAATGGTACTTTGAAAATAATGATGTTATTTAGAGATAGGCTCTATAGAGACAAAAGTAAAAAGAATACATGAGAGCTAATATTAATCAAATACACTAGATCTTACCGAAGAATTTCAAATTCTTCAATGAGGTTGGCTATCAATGTTTGAGTCCTGAGCAATCAAAATTAATTGAAAATGTTTATCAGGAATATCTCACTAAGGGAGGTCTTTAAGAAACTTTTATTTAGTCAGGAGATGATATCTATAGCATTAGATTTTAATAGGAGCTATATTAAAAAAATCAAGGATGGAGAATCGTAAATTCTATTTCTTAAATTGGCAGGGAGCTTTTTAGAAAAATAAAACTAAAAGGTCCATTTTAAAAATAAAAGACTGTTCGCTTCTATTTAATTAATCCATTGAATAACAATGTTTTAGAAGAAATTACTGATTTAGCAATAATTTAAAATTTGAAGAAAGCTTATGAAACAGTTCAAATAAAAAATAAAGAGAAGACATAAGTACTGCAATTCAGAGGAGAGAAAGTCATATTATATTTGAATCCTCAAGCTCTTCATGATATAAAACTACTGAGATTAGATGGAACAGGCATTTATACTTTATTACCCAAAACATCATCTACTAAATGGGATTATGTGGCTACTTTCAAGCCGACTGCCAGACTTTCTATTTAGAGTGGTTAAATCTATTGCAAAGAATTGTTACAATCAACTTCTCTTGAGTATTAATTCGTACAACAAAAATTTATTTCAACTTTTCATGACAACAGAATTCGACAATAATCCTCCTTGAATAATCAAATAAATGCAGCTCAATTAAAACCAAATATACTTAGAATTGAAAAGATTTACAACTGTGTGATTTATGAAAGATTTGTAAATGAATATAAAAGAATGCTTAGAAAATATACTAATTTATAGCCATCACAAATATTGAAGCATTTATTTCATGGAACAAAAGAAACTCAGCCTTAGTTAATTTATGAATCAGAGACAGGGCTAGATATCAGATTTTCTAGAAAAGGTTTGTATGGTGAAGGAGTCTATTTTGCAGATAACTCAGCTTATTCTAATACCTACTGCTCCAAAACAACATGTAATGAGAGCTAAATGTTTCTTGCCTTGGTCTTGGTAGGAGACAGTGTCTATTAACCATAAAATTAATCAATCAGGATACCACCACTGAAACCAATTAGTAGAACTGACAGATATGACTCAATAAACAATGGTTAAGGAGGTCATTACATTATTTATGATAATTTGAAAAGCTATCCAGGATATCTTATCACTTATAAAAGCTATTGAATTCATAATTAAGTCAATGAAGATATGCTGGTTTAAAAAACTAAAATTCTCAAAATTTTATGATTAAGTCTTTTAATTTTAATTTTTTTTCAAAAACTTTCTATAATAGTTCTAGGGGTTTTGGGGTTTTGGGG